TTTTTTTAGTTTATTTAATAAAAATTTGATTTTTATTAAATAAAATTTTTTTTATTTAATAAAAATTGAATTTTGTTACAACTTTGTTTCTTTTTTTAGTATTGTTTTTTTTTTCTCAGTAGATAAGTTTAGCTTTTAGTCACAAGGTGTGTGACCACATGCATTTTCCAGGAAAGCTTGTTAAGCGTGGACGAACAAAATGTGTGATACAAATGCTTCCTGGGAAGGCTTGCAGTACACTATTTCACAGTCCAAGTATTTGCTTCATTAATATTACTAAACCCTAAGCCATAAAAAGGTTTATAATGAAATTTTAATGAATATTTTAATGAATATAATTAATGAATTTTAATGAATATTTTTTTACCTTTTGGTGTTTATTTTATTACTTAATTCATATATACTTAATTAAACTCTTTTATATATCATAATCATAACTAGTTTCATACATTTTTGCTGTCAGTGAGTTTCCCAAAGGATCCATGTCATTAAACAATACTTGCCTTTTTTAATTCTGGGGGGGATGTGGCACAGGCTCACTAAATCTAGCTTTTTATTTATTTCCAACCGTTTTCGATGGTATTAAAAGTGGGTGAACTGACCATTCAAAAACATTAATTACTTTGCTACAGATCCATTTCAATAATGGCCTGCATAAAAATTTCTGACTCACAGATGTCTAAGAGTTTTAGAGTTTTGTTTCTAAAAAATTATTATAGCGTGCAGATTTCATTGTTTAGTTTCTAGGAAGAAAATATAAAGTTCCTTATTCCTTTTACAACACTAAAACATCCCCAAACCATTAAATGACAAATTATTACCCGCTCAGAGTGTTTAACTGTTTTCTATGTGTATAGGGGATTAATTCTTTTTGAATTACAAGATCGATGGATTCAGTTCTTGCTTATGAAGGAAAAATTACTCTTATCACTCCACATAACACATGCTCAAGTGTCCAATGCCTATATCTACAGGCAAATTGCACTCATTGCTTGACCATACATATAGAAAGTAATGGTTTTTGGGCTGCATTGCAGCTGGGTGAGCCTAACTTCATCTGAAGTCTATGTAGCACCATGTAAACTGACAGGTTATTTAGTAGACTAACATGGTTTTTTTTTAATTAAGAACCATGGATTTTTATTTAGCTTTCTTTTTAACAATGAATCTGTTTTTGCTGGTCTTTTTAGTCCTACCAGATATAATTTTTTAAGATTTTGAACTTTTCCATTGTCAAGATCTCTTGATTGCAGTAAATACCTACTTATCGTCTATCTTGAATGTCTAGTACGCTTACAAATGTTCGTGGACATATTTTATTCTTGCCATGACAGAATCATTGCTCTTTTCTTTAAAGAGAGACATTTCCCAGCATATTGGATATTTTGTAAAACTACAAGAATTAAATAACAAAAGTACTAGAAAAATGAAATTTTTTTAATCTCTATTTTATAACTACAAGAATTTATACTTTTTATTTAACAAATTTTATTACCTAAAACGAAAATTATCACATAGTTTTAAAGTTTAATGATCATGAGATCATTAAACCTTTGAGATTTTTATAAAAATTCAACCAAAATTGTTTAAATTGCTTAAATTGTTATAATTCTTACACATTTTTTTTCTCACCAATCAAAACTTGGGTTATTATTTAGACTTTAAATGAAATATTAACATTTCCAGTTATTATTTTAAACTCATTTCATTCAAAAAAAATTCAATTCATGCATAAAAATTCATTTATCATTTAATAAACTTTTGAAGTGCGAAAAAGTCATGAGAAGGGTAATAAACTTATTTAGTATAAAAATAAATCTAAATATATACTAAATAAGAGTTTCAAAATTTAAACAAAGTTATAACTAAAACTTAATCAATTATCATAATATCTCTATGATATATATAAATAACAAAAAATGCAAAAATGATGATCGCAAGCATTTTTAGTGCAGACAACCGCTTACTCAGTTTTAGGTATTTCACCACTTGTGCACTTATTTACACCTACTGAGGCTAAAGTTAAGTAAGATTTTAAAACATAATAATAACATGCGCCTATAGAAAATGGTCATAGTGTGTGTATATACATATATATATATATATATATATATATATATATATATATATATATATATATATATACATGTATATTTATATATATATATATATTTATATATATATATATATTTATATATATATATATATATATATTAATATATATATTTTATTTATATATATATATATATATATATATATATATATATATATATATATATATATATATATATATATATATATATATATATATATATATATATATATATATATAAACCCAGACCTGTTTTAGTACTGCTGGAGCAAAATGGGCGCCCAGATAAAAGCGCACAGAAATTATTTTCATTTTTTAATTTTTCTTTTGCTTTTTATTAAAAACAGAAAAAAAAATTTCAGTTTGAAATACATTAGAATACAAATAATTTTCAGTTTAATTTAGCTGCCTCATTTTTTTTTCAATCAATAAAATGAATTAAAAAAGAAATAGCTCTTTTCGTAATTATTCGTAATAATTCGGTAACTAACTGAATTCTAGTTATGAGAAAATTAATGTATCAGTTCTATATTTTGAGTTACTTCTTTTTCTGCAGGTTTTGGCAATGGCATTATGAGTTTGCAGATGATTTTACGCTTTTTAGTTGTTTTTCAGCTAATTTGAGTTGCTAAATTTGTAATCTTTTTTTGAGATGATCTTTAACACCGTGTTCTGTAATACATTGGCCAGCAATTTTTTGAATATTAGGTTCCCTCATTTTTTTACATGAGACTGATTTTTTTCTTGAAAAAATCTCTTTAGCTCATTTTCCATTCCGATTTTCATTCTCTTGTGTACTTGTTGAACCTCGGAGCTGCTGGTTCAGAAGATAATGCTAAAGACTATATTGTTCGCAATGGCATTGAAGACGTCAGTTGATTAAACGTTTGGGAGATAGCTAATGCCTGTTGATTGATTTTATTTTTGTTAAGTGGAAACAACCCAGTATATTCAAAACCAGCAATAGCGTGCAAACATGTAAAACACTTACCGCTCTCATACACCTGTTTGAGCGAAGGAGAATTTTCTTTATCTAAGTTTTTGCATTTTGTGTCTTTGTAATATTTGGTAAGAACTGCCTTCCACACTTGCTTAACATGGCAATAGACACCTCTATCGAGTGGCTGAAGAATGTGAGATGAGTGGGCTGGTAGACAAATCAAAATTATATTGTTTTCCAGACATAGCATACAGTTGCTAAACTGACGTGAGACATATGTCCATCAAGATGTAAAATATGAGTACCACTAATAGCTTGACATTTTGGTATGTACACTTCCTTCAACTATTCAATAAATGTGTCATGTTCCATCCAACCAGATTTAGAAATTGAATATTTGGTGCCAGTCAGACCACCTAAAGCCCACTCAGCTCTAAAGTTTTGTTTTGTTTTGTATACCACGAATGGTGGTGTAAAGTATCCATCAGCATTACAGCAATTGTTCACTGTATAATGGATTTTTTCATTGTTACCAGTGAGTTTCAAAACACGCTTTGCACCTTTTCAACATACTACATTTGCTTTGCCATGATCACTACAGAAACCCATTTCATCGCAATTCCAAATGTGACAACCAGAAGTTATCCCAGACAACTGCTATTGTTTAGTGACAACTTCAAAACTATTATCAATTATTGCTTGCGTACAAGAAGCGGCAGATGCTAAAGTGTGAGTTTTTCTTGTGGAATTTTTCTTTAGACCATTGATTTATAAATGCATAAACCAGTCTTTGCCAGGCCTGCCGTTTTTTAATTAGACCTGATTAATTTGTACGAAGAAGTTAATCGCATATGAAGTCCATGACATCATTTTGTGTTAAACCATAACCCCAATCACATAGGAACTTAAACGCATGCACCATAATTGACTCTGTTTGCAGTGAGAGTACGGTTGTTGATCCTGAACCCTTGAAGCTAGCATTGTTGTTGTTCTTGCGACCTATTAGAGTTGAAAATGGAATGCCATATTTGAATGCAGGTTTTCTGATTGAAGTATTTTTTTCTTTTATATCATTGAACCCAGCTTCTATATCTTCTTCATTGTATGACTTTTTACAGTCATTTTTGTAAAATAACTTTATATAGGAAGAACTCTATAAGCACCAATGATGATACTTATAGAGTATAAGGTGATTTTAGCTGATTATGATTTTGTAATTGCTTATTATTAAATCCTTAACAAAAACTTATTCCTTCAGTAATTGCAGCCATAGAGATCAAAAATAGATTTCATGGGAAAACAAGTAACCACATTTTCTGACCCAATATACATGGCAATCAGATGTGCAAAACATGATTTATCAAAAACCCTCAAGCACTTAAAAGACATAAATGGAATCAGCCATCTTCCTGCATTTAAAAGCATTATATTTACTTAAGATGGAGTTACCAAACCAGTCATGATTATAACTGTTGATGACAGGCCAGATAAAAATCTAAAATATGAAAAAATAATTTATTGTACTTATTTCAAAGACCTTGATGGAATGATTGTGGCTTTCAATGCTCCTGGGAAAAGTCTACCCTTTAATAGGGTAGACTTCTCCCAGGAGGAATGACTCCGCAAACCATGATCAAGCAGAATTTATCTTTCATTTGATCATTTTGGAACCTATCTTAATTCAAGGGGAGAAACAGCAGAAAAAGAATAATGAAGGCAAATTTTGGGTTCTTCAAAGTGTCACATAGGGATGGGGTCTCTAAAAACAGCAAAAAATGTGTCACATTATTTGATCAGCCCCATACAATAAATCTATGATATTTAATAATAACTGTAAATAAATAAATCAGCCAAAAACATTTGTAACAACTATTTGATTTCAAAGATTTGAGTTCAGTTAATAATAATTAAAACTGTTATTAATTTATAATAACATTAATTTTGATTATTTTCTATATATAAACTTACAATAAGCTGCTACTTTATCTTCATCAGTAGAATAACAAGTACAAGAACGAAAACCACGTCCATCTATTGAATAATAACAGTTTGATTCTTCATTATATAACTAAAATCAAAATCAAAAATAAAAATTTTTTATATTTTATGAATTTACTTTATATTATTTTGATATAGAAAATTAATTTTTTTTGTTAAGTGTAAAATTATTTTTTACACATAAAAATAATAAAAAAAAAAATTAATTTTTAACAACAATTTTAATTCATTTTAATAAATGTTTTAACTTTAAAAAACCCTAATAACATGACCTTTCAGGTTTAACTCTAAAAAACACTAACGACATGGCCTTTCAGGTTTTAACTCTAAAAAATCCTAATAACATGACCTTTACAAGTTCTATCTCTAAAAAATCATAATAACATGACCCTTATATGTTTGAACTTTAAAACCCTAATAATATGACCCTTATAGATTTTAACTCGAGAAAACCTAATAATATGACTTTTACAGGTTTTAACTCTAAAAAATCCTATTAACATGACCCTTATATGTTTAAACTTTAAAACCCTAACATTATGACCCTTACAGATTTTAACTCTAAAAAACCCTAATAACATAATCCTTACAGGTTGTAACTCTAAAAAACCCTAATAACATGACTTTTACAGGTTTTAACTCTAAAAAATCCTATTAACATGAACCTCACAGGTTTTTTTTTCAAAACCCAAATATTATGACCATTACAGGGTTTATCTCTAAAAAATCTTAGCAACATGACCCTTATAGTTTTTAACTCTAAAAATCTCTAATAACATGACCCTTACAGGTTTTAAGCAATTTGAGCAACTCTAAAAAATTCAAGATTCGAAATCAGGTTTTAACTCTAAAAATTCCTAATAACATGACATTTACAGGTTTTAACTCTAAAAAATCCTAATAACATGACCCTTACAGGTTTTAACTCTAAAAACCTCTAATAACATGACCCTTACAAGTTTTAAGCAATTAAAGAAGAGAGATCAGATTCAAGATCAACTGCCTGTTCTAAGCGATTGAAAAAAAGACTTTTTGTCAAGATGAGTATAAAATTGAGTTTTCATCAAATAGAGCCATTTAGATGTAAGATTGTCAGGAAGATCATTAATGTAGATAAAAATTAATACCAAGAATAGAAGCTTGAGATACCCCAGAAGTTACTTAGCCATCAAGGATGACTTTAATACTGAGGTTAGAAAGAAACGATTTAATAATCATATAAATTTTCCCAGATAAACCGTATAAAGCAAGATTAAAGAGAAGACTGGCATGTCATACTTTATCGAAAGCTTTTGATATATTAAGTAATTTCAGACATTAGATGAAGGCAGCAAGGCTGTCTTCATCTAATGTCTGAAAGTTATTAGACTCAAGGTGGCATGTTAGAGGTTGATTAAAGGACTCAAAGATCCTGCTAATAATAGAGAAAAGACTGGCAGGACAATAGACAGAGGGGTCAGAATGCTCTCCAGAGTTTTTAAAAATTGGAGCAACAGATGCCATTTTCCAGCAGGCAAGAAAACAAGATTTAGTCGAGCACTTATTAAATAGCTTAGAGGAATTGAAGAGAGTTCTGGAGAATGCTTTTGTAAGACTATACAGAAATGTTGTATGGACATTAAACCGAATAGGAGTTTATCAGCAAAGAGACAAAAGACACCAGCCTAAGGATCTTCATGAAGAAAATCAAAAAGAGTTTTCAGTTTTAGCGTAGTAGTAGGTAATGCACCAATAGCAACAATATTAGCAGAGGAATAAAAAGAAAGAGCATTGTCAATTTGATCAGAAATTATATTTAACTACGTATACTACCTTTTTGCAACTAAAGTAAGATATATTTTTGCAGAGATTTTGCAAAGAATAATTTATTATATGTATATACAATATACTATTGTACATTATATGTATATACAATATACTATTGTATATTGTATATACTATTGTACATTATATGTATATACAATATACTATTGTATATTGTATATACATATAACAAATTATTATTTGCAAAATCTCTGCAAAAATATATATCTTACTTTGGTTGCAAAAAGGTATAAAATAGTATTTATTTTATTTATTAAAATAGTATTTATTTTATTTACTAAAAAAGTATTTTATTTATGTTCTTTGGATATTGTTGAATATAATAACAAAATAATACCTTCATCCCAGATATTCGAAATCCAATTTTTGTTTGAGCATTAAACTTTCCTTCCTCTTTAATTTTCTTTTCCATTGATGCAAATGGATCATAGGTAACTCGACCTAATTTGATATCCATTATATTAGGATAAGCAAAGTTTGCAAGAAGATTTTCTAGTTTCAAGTAAGAATCTTTAGTTGTGTTAAAGGATTTTTTTTTCAATTTTAAATAAAAGTTTTAAAATTAATTTAGTTATCTTGCAAACATCATTTTACAAAATATAACTTTAATTAGAGCAGAAAAGAGTGACATATTTAACATATAAACAACTTTAATCAAAGCAGAAATAAGTGACATATTTAACTTATGTAATTAGAACAGAAAAAAGTGACATAACAACTTAAGTGTAAATTGACTTTTGAAATTTAAAAATTAAAAAATAAACCTAAAAAAAATTATTCCAATACATAAAAATATTAAATATTCCTTAATTGTTTAATTAAATATACAATATTTTTGTCAACATTGAGTAACACAATATAATTGAACAATATCTAGAAGTAAATTTGGGCATAAAATATAGTTATTATGAGAAAAATTAAAGCATACAAGGCAAAGTGAAAAATTCATCAACATTTTTTTTAAATAATAAAAAAATTGTCTCTTCCAGCAAAAAACTGTAGATCATGTAAAATCTTTTAAAAAGATTAAATTCAGGAAACCTAACTAAATAAATCATCTATAATATAACTATTTTTATTTTGCTTGAAATTTTAATATTTTATATACCTGTTCTTGCTTCTTAAATTGTTTGTTTACATAAATTCTAAACTCTAAAATAAAAAATTGATTTGATTTTTTGCTTTTCTTGTATAATATAATTTTGTTTAATATCTAAATTTTTGAACTTTTACTAAAAGAAAACACTGCAAAATATTCAAATACCCTGCAAATATTTAAAGGGTATTTATTAATGTATATGAAAATTAGACGTGGATTCTGAAAATTAGAAGAGGATTCTTTGACTAGCTTTAAGTTAATAATATTTTAATATATGTATATAAATGTATTTTGCAGGTAAAAAAAAACACTGAATTTACTCTAAGCACACCAAAGCAGAACTAAATTAAAAGAAAAGTAAAAGATTTGTAGAAATGGTGTAAAAGATATATAGAAATAGACTTAAATAGAAAAAGAAGGAAGGTATATAGATAAAGTGTATAAATAGAAAAAGAAATAGAAACAAATATAGTAAGAATATAATTTTCAATGCAGAAAAAAAAATCGCCTCAATGCTTTTTTTATTTAGATGCTGAAAACTTATTCACAATGCTACTTATTAAGAAGCTTGATCATAAAAAAATAAATCAAAATAAAACAAAAAATGATGAAAGTAAATTTTGTCTTAGTAATTTTACTTAAATTTTATAATAGTAACTATATTTTATTTTTAAATATTATTTTAATATTATTAAAAATGATCTAACTTGTTAAAATGCTAATTATTAATTAAAAATAAATGGCTAAGTATTAATTAAATTATGAAAAAAACTTTTGTTTCAATTTTAGATCACTTTAAAACATAAAACCTAATTATTGTTAAAAACATATTACACTTGGTGATGAGGATAGAAGGGTAATTCCATGTGAAAACATCCAATTTTTTTATGAAATGCAACCCTAAGCCTCAAATTTTTGCTGATTTTTACACCATTCAAAGATTTTAATAAGTAATGAACCAAAATTTAATTATCTAATTCCAAACCATTTCTAACATTTGACTATTCAAACTTTGCTTTAAACCAACAAAAATCTGCCATTTTAAAAATTGGTTTTGGCCTATGTTTCTGTTCTGTGTGCAATGGAAAGCTGAAAATGTGTACACTTACACATTTTGAGGCAAGGAATCGAATAAAACAACTTAAAGTATTTCAAAATGAACATAACACCTGTAATTTTGACCTTTATTCCAATTTTATTGGGGCAAGTTTAATTACAAAATGCTGATGTTGCTTGATTTTTTAGACATCACCCTGAATAGTTAGAATTATTACAAAGATTTGGAAAGTGGCCTTTTCTTTTTTTTCCCAATCCTCCAATTGGGATCCTTATAAGAAAAAATTTTATTTACAAGAGTTTTAGTAAATGACATCATTGATTTTTTTTTGTTTACGTAAGAGATTATGTAAACAAACAAAAAAGGGGTCGTCCATAAATTATCACGCTCTAGGGGGAAAAGGGGTTAGTAGCTTTATGATGACTCCTACAAGACTTGTTTTTAAAAAGTTACAGTGTTGTAATGAGGGGGGTTAAGGTCAAAAACTGCATGGTGTAATTTATGAACAACCCTTATTCAATAAAAATATTTATACTTTGTTCTAGGAATTATAATATAAAACAGAGTTGCCAGTTTTCATCAAACTGAAAAATTGATGGTCAAAAGTAGGCACAATTTATGTAATAAATGAAAGTCATTTATTATGATGAAATGTTTGTTTATTTTATGTCTTTTTTGTTGTTGTTGTTGAATGTTCTTATTGCATATAAGATGTTGAATGTTATTGCATATAAGTTGTTGAATATTGCATATAAGTTGTAGAATGTTATTATTGCATATAAGTTATAGTATTAGGAAATTTTAAGCAATTCTTTTAATACAAATAATTATTTAAAAACATTTTTAAGAATATGGTCACCAACATTATCAGCTAATAAAATTGTACCAATTTTCCAACATTTAAAAAACAGTTAACTTGTGTTATCATTTGAAAAAATTATGTAAAGTACAGCTACTTAGTAAAGACAAAGTAAATCAAACATTTACAAA